TTCTGAAACTGGTGAGATTTCAGAGAAAACCTTGCTTTTGATAAATAACGTACTTGCACACTTATTTTTCATGTTGGGTCTTTCAGTTGTTGACATCGATATCAACTTTATGGCAGTAATAGAATTGCAGGCCAAGACATTTATCGTTACTTCATAAAGATTGTCCCCACAAAAATTTATCACGGTATATTTGGACGATTCACTATGGCTTATCAATACTCTGTCACGTTCTTGGTAAGTTGTCGCCTAAAGGACAATACCATCGGATAAAACATCCATTACAGAAAAAGAAGTTAAATGAGGGTGAACATAGCCATGGTGGCATTCTTTTCGAATATGAGTTTTGCGCCAATGTTATAGAGATTAGGGAGGCTTACAGGTGAAGTATATTTACAGTATATCCAGTCTGTATTTTATAGGTGTTTTTTATTTGAAAAGAATATTTCAGGTCGATTATTACTCTTCTAGTACGTCTGTGTGCGATAGTTGGAGGCGTTTTCGCGACTAGCCGAATTGTCAATAACGTGATCCAGCAAATTCTTAGTCTTTTACCTTGGGCTACAATCTCAACGACTGCATCTTATGTAGAAAAGACCACACTGTTGAATACCGAAACAGTGGCGCGCTAGGCTATGCCCATGATCATGATGTGCATTGCATGGGACATATTTTTAACGTTGATTTTCCCTTAGCGAAACCCGAATTTTGTTAAGCTAAATGTGTTTTTTATAGTAATTTTATGATCTAACAAATGCTCCTCTTGCTCTTTGGTTGGTTCCATTCTCAAACTTTTTGGAAAGGTGGCCGGGATGACCTAAAGTCAGATTACCAATAGGAGAAGCTTTTCATTAATAGTCCGATGTGATAGTGATGTTTTGCTGAGATGTGTTCCTGATAAACTTCGGAAAGAATTAATGATATCTTATAGCTGCAATATGTTTTTTCTCCAAGAACGCTGTTTATCCCTCCTGTTCCTTTAAAAGTTTTTCTTCTTAGGGTTTGCTCTCTTTTCTTGGTGGGTCGTTGACGTGTCTTCATCTGTGATGAAATCGCAAATCTTTTTTATCCCTTTTTCTAATCCACATTTACGGGTACGAATAAATTTGTTGTTTTTGTCTTTAAAGAAATAAAGGGTAAAGATTGCTAGCGTTTCTTTCGTTGAGCAAAAGGAGAAGACGGATCTTGCATTTGCTGTTGTGTTTAAAGTGAGTTTTATTTATGTAAATACCCTTGTTTCTCATCTCCACATCTTGCACGGTCTTCTTTACATTTCATTTCAGCTCGAGGTATGATCCTACCTAAATTTAGTGGATAATGGAAGTTGGAAGATTCCCTTTATTTGGCGCTTGTCTTAGCGTTATCACCGTTTTGTTACTAGTGTACTGTTGTCTATAGAATGTTACATGTGTTCACTACGATGGACATCGTTTGTGAAACAGATTTGTCGATATCAAAATATATGTATATATATAATGAAGTAAATAAATATTTGTATGGCGAAAGTGTTATGCTACCTGTGGTCTTAAAACTCTTGAATAATCATTTCGCGAAATTTCCAATCTCTGTAAAAGTTTGTTATCATGTGCACAGATGGACTTCCACTTATTACTGATACGATTGTTGCCTGTGATAGTCAATGCTTATCCTTTTCAGAATTTCTTGTCTTCATAGTATTGTGTAGCATCGTTTAACCGTGACAGATTCTCTCATCGGCTTGTAGCAAGTTTATGACAG